AATATACTCAACTCTTTGAGACACGTGGCAGTAGATAAATCCTCTCCTATGCTTTTCAATTGCCCACACCAGCGTATTTCAATTTTTTGAAGAGAAGACAGCCCATGGAGGTTTGGTAAGGACATCAAACCATTGCAGTATTCTATAGTCAACTCTTCGAGACACATGGCAGTAGATAAATCCTCTCCTATGCTTTTCAATTGCCCACACCCGTCTATTTTAATTTTTTGAAGAGAGGACAGCCCATAGAGGTTCGGAAAGGACATCAAACCATCGCACCGCCTTATAGTCAACTCCTTGAGACACGTGGCAGTAGATAAATCCTTTCCTATGCTTTTCAATTGCCCACAGTTGATTATTTCAAATTTTTGAAGAGAGGACAGCCTATGGAGGTTCGGAAAGGACATCAAACCATCGCACGACCATACAGTCACCTCTTTGAGACACGTGGCAGTAGATAAATCCTCTCCTATGCTTTTCAATTGCCCACACCTGCTTATTTCAATTTTTTGAAGAGAGGACAGCCCATCTACACTGGGCATGGACATTAGGCTACGACAATCTTGAATATTTAACTCTTGTAGACACGTGGAGTTAAATGGAGCATCATCTCCAATCATTTTCAATTCCTGGCATTGCTGAAGTTCAAGTACCTCAAGAGATTGTAATTTACTAATCATTGGAAGATTAACCAATTTACCACAACTCTCTATGTGTACTTCTTTGAGAGACTTCATGGCAACTGGTCCAACCTCTATCCCAACCAGTTCTTCACATTTCTTAATGATGAGTTTCTGAAGGGATGAATCTGCAATGCTTTTCAAATTCTTGCAATATTTAATTTTCACCTTTGCTTCCTTGCTGAGTGACAATGATGGAATGCTTTCCAACCAGGGACATTCAGAAAAGGTCATGAACATCAGATTTTTGAGAAAATTTTTTGTTTCTAACATCCATGAAGGACAACTTTTACCACAGTAGTGTTCAATAGTTAGGCCTTTCAAATTTGAATGAGGTTGGAGGCCTTCCAAGATATCTTCATCATTTTTGCATCTACCTCCATCATCTTCGCATCTATCTTTACGGCCACTGGATTGCTCATAATACGCGATTGGCAACTTGTGAATTGTCTCCTTTTTCCTAAACACCAATTGCAACTCTTGAATTGCATCCTTTTCAGAAAGTCTTGCTCCCATGGCTTCTTCTTTGTCTCTAACCATATCCAAATTACGAATCTCTACTTTTCTCCTGAGTTGGTTTAAACACCCCAGTTCTTCAATTTGATGTCCCTTCTGTTGGCCCACAACAAATAATTGTAATGTTTTCAAACAAGTTAGTCTACCAATCCCTGCTGGCATAAGCTGTTCATTATTGAAACAAATGTGTCTCAAATTGAGTAAATCCCATATTCCTTCCAAAGGCCTTTCAATTTTGTAGCAATAAATAAATCTAAATGTCTGCAAATGATAGAGCTTGGTGATGAACTTGGGAAGTTCTTTGATTTTAGTTTCTGAAACATCCAAGAACCTTAAATGCTTCATTTCCCCCAAAAAAGTTGGCAACTCATCAATATCAGCTCCACAGAAATTGAGGACCCGCACCTTTCTCAAGTTCGTTGACATACTGTGAAAGACATCAATTTGTGAAAACAAAGTGTGCAATTTTTTAGGGGCATCCCCTAATTTTGTTGTTGTCGTATCCTTATCAGAAATGACATTCAAATGTTGAATGTTTGCAGGAATATTTCTTCCGCTACCATCTTCCAAAATCAAAGTTTGGGACTTTGAAACAGATTGTGCAAAATCATGAATTAAATCATGCATTTTGCAAGTAATAATGCTCCCATAAGAATCTCTTTCAACATCTTGAAATAAAGAATATGATGACAATGCATTCAAATACTTATCACCAACATCCTCCATCTCCAAGTGTGTTTCACTAAATGGCTGAAGAAATCCTTCAGCCATCCAAAGCTGGATTAACATCTCCTTTTCCATGACAAAATCTTTAGGAAAAATAGAACAGAAAGCAAAACATTGTTTCAAAGCAGGTATTGGCAAGCGATTGAGACTCAACTGCAACACTTGTAGAACTCCCCCAGCTTCTTCCATTGACCGCCATACATCATTATCTTTAATTGACAACCAGTAATCCTTCTTCATATTATTGCACAAAATCCCCCCAACAACATTTGCAACCAACGCTATACCTCTACATTTGCTAGCAATATCCCTTCCAATCCCCTCCAATTCTGAAGAGAATGATGAGCTGACAAATGCTCTCTGCTTGATTATATACCAACAATCCTCATCTGTTAGTTGCTCGAGATGATGCATGTGCTTCGAAAGTGTTCCCACTGTGGAAGCTACATTTTCACTTCGAGTTGTGATAAGAACCCTACTCCCAACTGTTTTACCTATTCCCAACAAACAACTCCTTAAGGATTCCCATTTTTGCCGATCTTCATTCCATACATCATCTAATATGAGAAGATAATTGTTCTCCCTCAATTTTTCCTGTAATTTCTGAACTACAATATCTTGGGTATACACAGAAACATTTACATCAAAAGCTTGCAACATTTCTAATAAAATTTGCTTCAAATTAAAATTTTCAGAAACACAAATCCACATTCTTTTGAAAAAATAACGCTGTATTTGCCCATTGTTACACACTAGTTTGGCCATAGTAGTTTTGCCTATGCCTCCCATACCCACTATGGATACAACAAGGAGAGGTTGATCATTACTTGAGTCAATCAATGATTCAACGACTTCCAGGACCTTATTTTTTCTTCCTACAATTTTTGATGGATCACCAATTGAGGAATCTGTTTGTTGGGTTTCTAAATGTTCAAGATGCTTGCTTGCAAGTCTTTGTTGCAGCCCTAACTCAGTGGCTATCTTATTAAGGCCATCTATTTCTAAATTTAAACTCTTAATCCTGTTCGCCATCTTAAGGCGAAAAGCTGAAGGATTGAAAAGAGCAGAGAAATAGCTGACCTTTTCCGGCATTTGAGCTACCTTGCACCGCAGATTTTCATATGCAATTTCATCCATCATATCGTCAGCCTCTTCAGCTTGACTCCGAAGCCCTTCAAGCCAAGGCTTCAGAACAGGGTCGCCTACCATTCCCTTCTGCTCTGCATCCTGCAACACACCCTGGATCATTTTCAGCTTGCGATCAAACCTCCTCAGCTCCTTCTTGAATCCGACAGCTAAGTTGAGCTGCTCGTTAACAACTGAAATCACCTTGGATAAGGTGACATCCAAAACAGAACCGAGGATCCGATCAGCAGCCATATTTGGTTCGGTAGTTTGGAAGAGAGAAATGCTTGGTAGATTGTACAGCACAAAAGAGGAGAGAACAATGAAATAGCGGTGGTGATAGACAGCTTGAGGCAACTTTTATCCACGCGGTCGGGTGATTACTCTAAATTGTTAGTAATTTTAATTTAATTTTTTTTAATTTTTTAAACATAAA